AAATTTAAAAGAACTGTTTTCTATTTTAATATAGTTTATATAATATCATAATAATTTTAGAGTGATTTCTGAAGGATCATGTGACACTGAAGACTGGAGTAATGAAGCTGAAAATTCAGCTTTGCATCACAGTAATAAATTACAATTTAATATATATTCAAACAGTAAACAGTTACTTCAAATTGTAATACAATTTCACAATATTACAGATTTTACTGTATTTTTGATTTGCATTTAAGAGACTTTGTAATTTGCATGTAATAATTTAAAATATGCATGGTAAAAATACATTAAAAAGGTTGAAAATACATCAAACACAGGCTACAATAAATACAGGTTCACTTGCAACAATGATTAAACATTGAAATAATTTTGCATATTGTTGTCAGTGTGGTTTATAGTAGTATTAGTAATTTACAGTACACTTTATATTATTGCACATAAAACAGTTTTGTTTCTGTGGGTCACTTGAAGTCCAGTGTAACATCTGGTTCCTGAAGCTACTGATTTAAGGCATGTAAATGATACACTCACACAGTCTCTGCTCTGTTTCAGTCGGATGAGAATGACAGGCGAGTGAGTGCTGAATGGGTGTGGGATTGGTCCAGTCGGCCGGAAAACCTTCCGCCCAAGTAAGATTTACCATTCATTCATGTCTTCTTAAATCATGTTAGTCATTCAGTTCACCTTCTAAAGTTATATAGATGATTGATATGTAGATAGTAGCCTAGATATTTAGTTAATGTATCAGGTCTGTAAAGACCAGAGTTTTTTAAGTAGGGTTCACTCTAAAAAATGGGGAATAAAGGGAATAGTACACTCTAAAAAATGCTGGGTTAAATATAATCCAGCGCTGGGTTATATTTAACCCAGCATTTTTTAGAGTGTAGTATATTTTTCTTTTGTTTCACAGTACTAAGAATTCTGATGTATGAGCTTAATTTCCTTGAAAATGCGAAATATATATGTGACAAATATGAATTGAATTAGAATTTTTTTTTTCTTTTGATTCTGGCATGCAACATTGGTTGTCACAATATTGAAACGAATCTCAGAGCATGCACTTAATTTGAGCTATGTAGCTTCATTAGACTGGAAAACATTTGGAATAGACAATGATAAAGAAGAATAACTTTTTAATTGGGTAACACTTTACTTAAAGCCATTATGTAAAATGCCTTAATTATTCATAATGTGCATTGTTATACATTATATCTTGTCGTAAATAATTATAATAACCGAATTTGAAATGCGTAATGTAACAATGAACTGATAAGTGTCATAATGTATTAACTGTGGTTACAATTATTCTTGAGATTGTACAATGCATTATAAGGTGCATAACAAACTACTTTTATAATGCATTATACATAAAGGCTTTAAGTAAAGTGTTACCGTTAACTTTTCTTTTTGCACATGATGACAGTTTGCAGTCCTGGATAAAACAATGCTAATTAAGACTGCAAATACGTCGTGAGTACCATATGGCATTATGGGAGAAAATACATTAGGTGTTCTTGTGTGCTAATTGTGTCCTTTCAGAATAGCAGAGCACTTCACAGATTGCCAGGTCTTGCAGTGGAGTGTTTGACCTCCGTTAGGCCTGCATACCTCTGCTTAAATCTCAGAGAGGATCATTTAGTCACCACACAAAAATAACTTGTGCGCCACACCATGAGCCTCGCTTGTGCAGCGTTTAACAAGTGGATGAGTTTGCTCTCTAGAGGAGAAACTTCTTAATGCACGTATCATTACAGCTAAAACCTTGTTGGAATACTTTTTGAATTGCAACGTTTTAGGGTGTGGGATTGCAGGTTTTAGAGACTGCTCCAATATCAGGATGCTATTAAAAGCAAAAAATCTTTACTTTGTCAATGTCAGTTTTTATGACGGTGCATATACGGTGTAACGATATTCGAACCAAACCAAAAACTGCCATACACCACCCGCGGCATGCACCGAAGTACTCTGTTGGCCTACCCCGCCAAAACCATGATGGGTTTGAATAGCTTGAATCACTTTGAAAAGGAAGGTACCATTAGTTAATTTCCAGAATAAAAATTTCCTGATAATTTACTCACCCCCATGTCATCCAAGATGTTCATGTCTTTCTGTCTTCGGTCGCAAAGAAATTAAGGTTTTTGAGGAAAACATTCCAGGATTTTTCTCCATATAATGGGCTTCAATGGTGCTCAATGGGCTGAAGGTCCAAATTGCAGTTTCAGTGCAGCTTCAAAGGGCTCGACATGATGCCAGCCAATCCCGATAGCTCCGCGATGCGTGTCCGCAAATTCACGCATTATGTAATCACATTGGGAAGGTCACACACTATTCATTTTTAATTAACCATGGCACATGTATTTTTATATGTAGCCTCAGTAATATTGTCCAGTGACTTGTTTTCATTATTTAGGCATTATTTTATTTAAATTTTTTAAGGCAATTGATTTTACAAAGCAACAACTTTTATAGTCTCATTTGTTAATGCTTTAGCATTAACTACACTGTAAAAAATTACCATGAATTTAACGGTAAAAGACTGTAAAAATGCTACAGTAAAAACCTGTTAAATGGTTAACGGTAAATTCCCTTACTATATACGGTGAAAAACTGTATTGGACATTACATGTATTGAACATTAATTTTATGGTAGTATACCGTTTTTTGGAAGTGAAAAAGACCATAAATTGACATTCCCAGAATTCCCTGCATTACATTTCAAATTTGATGTTTTTTGTTGAAATAACTGTTTCTTCTTAGTTTTTTTTCTTATCAGTTTTGTATATTAGGGTTGAGTGTTACACCTAATGTTGTTAAATGAATGTTTATTGCATTATTTCAGTTTCATGTGTGTTACCATGATGGTGTTTGGTGTTTGTGTGAACAACACCGTGCACCTTCTATATATGTTATTATCTAAAAGCTGTTTGTGATGGGCTTTGTTTCATCATGTGACTTTCGCATCACCGCCTGCATTTGGTGGTTATCAGTGTATTACAAAGGTTCAAAACAGATTTCAGTACTTCAATAGGTTGGTATATTAACATTATATCAGTTAATGAAATTACAGTATTTAACTTTAAATTTAAGTTAAAACCTAAAAGTTTGCTACCGTATTTTTTATTTTTTTTATTCCGGCAACCACAGCTGCCGTTTTTTTTTTACCGTAAATTTTACGGAATTAATTTTACAGTGTAACAGAGAGCAATTATTGTTATTATTATTATTATTATTATTATTATTATTCTTAAGTTAAAAGTGAATTTAGTCTATTGCTGATTCTATGCCAAGAACCCTACCCCCACAGCAAACAGAACCGAACTGAACCAAACCGTGGCTCCAAAACTGTGATATGAACCGAACCGTAGCATTGGTATATCGTTCCACCCCTTATTGTGCAAATATACATCTTGCTGCATAAACATTTCAAAGGTTATTTGAAATCAGTCTTTAGAAATACAACTGATGTAGAGTCATGTAGTGTCCGTCCATTCAGCTGTTTGTAATGCCTGATTACAAAAACTTTCACATTAAAGACCTTAGTCATGGTCAGCATATTAGTCTTTCTGAATGTTTATATGTATTATATATGTACCAGCTTAATGCACTTATCAGAATAACAAAAACAGTCAAATGTCAGAAGTTTCGTTTTAAAACTGTTCAAATGGATAATGTGATCTGCTGCAAGTGTATATGCTCTGTTCAAAAGTTTGGAGTTGATACTTTTTTTTTTAAAGTCTTTTTACCATGGCTGCATTTATTTGATTAAAAATGCAGATATATTGTGAAATATTGTTATTTGAGTACATTTTTAAAATATAATTTATTCCTGTGATGCAAAGCTGGTTTTTCAGCATCATTACTCCAGTCTTCAGTGTCACATGATCCTTCTATCATTCTAATATGCTGATTTGCTGCTCAAGACTCAAGAAACATTTATTATTATTACCAATGTTGAAAACAGTTGTGCTGCTTCATATTTTTGTGGAAACGGTGATCATTTTTTTTATCAGGATTTTTTGATTAATAGAAAGTTCAAAAGAACAGCGTTTATTTGAAATTGAAATCGTTTGTAACAGTGTACACCTATGGCGCTTTTCCAGTGCGTGGTACGACTCGGCTCGGCACAGCTCAGCACTGTACGACCAAGCAGCAACCTCCTGCTCTCTCTCATGAAGCCAACAAGGAAGTGACCTAAACTGTAATTTATCAACTGGCCGCTAGAGGCTGGCTGCAAAAGGGAGTCAGTCCCATAGACTCCCCATGTTAAAATGCCCAACTTTACAGCAGAAAAAAACATGTTTACAGTCTGGTTCAAAAAAAGATTTTGATCTATATAGCTAATGTTGCCCTTCATGACAACTGTGAGAGGGGTGAACGCCTTGTTTGCAATAAATCACAGACAATTGAGAAATGTTTGTGCTGTTTAGACTCTTTAAAATGGGGTATTGAGCCATACAAATTTAATTTTTTTCCGTTTTCGTTACAGGCATTAATGTTACCTAAAAAAGAGCATAAATAAGAACTCGGATGCTGTCTGACAGAAGACAAAAGATGACTGATTATCTCTTTCTTTCTTTCTGTCTGTCTGTCTGTCTGTCTTTCTCAGAATTTACATAGGGAAACGGTTGGCCTCCTCTTCCACCAGCACACTGTGACATGTGACATTTGGCAGCTCACTGATTGGCTGAGGCTGCTGCCACTAGCACTGTAGCCCAATCACGCCTCTTTTCTCCTCCTGTGATGGGCAACAGCCTCTTCTGCCTCTGTCTGTGTTTGTCCCGTTTCACCACAAAACCAATTTGTCTGTCTCTTTCTCTATTTCCACATACAGTATTTACAGGGGTCATATCATGAGCAATCAATCTGTCCTTGATATTTCTAGAGCCTGATGTTCTATGACAGTATATGTTTCAGAAGGATATACATGTTCAAAAGCTATAACAACTTATTCCGAACTCCTCTGAAGACCTAAATTCAAGATTTATGTATTTAAATTGCATATCAAATTTCCATTCATTTAAACTTAATGTGATGCGTTTTAAATAACCAACTTTATATATTTATAATCAATAAATCCAATTTGTTTCAGTCTCGTACATTTTAAGTAAACGGATATCGCTTATTCCACAGCTAGCCATATTTTAACCATGTTTATACTTTGTAACTGAATAAATTTAATTGTTTTCACAATGAACAGTTTATTCTGATTCTAAGCAAATCAAATAAATGCATTTTGAAAATATGATTGTTTGAGTAAAATAGATGCAAATAGTTAATAAAATAATAATGAAGTGCAGAATTCATACCTGTTTCTTAGCCACATTACGTTTATCAGTTTATATCAGAACCGTGTAATCCAAAGGGACGGAAATGTTATATGCAATTCAAATATGTAAATATTACATTTAGGGCTAAATATTTCAGATGTCAGACTGATTAATAAGTTATCACATGACTGACCAAATTTAGATATTCTATATGTTTGTTTGCAGAATTTGCTGTAAGAGTTAGAACAGGTCAAAAATGTTCATGCAAAGAAAATTACAATTGTTTTTGGTGCAAAAAAGCGTAAGTGGAGCTCAGGGAAAACTTTATGTATGATATGACCGCTTTAACCACCTGTAAGAGTC